TGTTTTTGTTTTTGTTTTTTTTTTTAATTTAAATTTTATTTTGTATATAGTTTTGTTTTGATTATTATTATATTATTATTATTGTAATTTTATTTTATTATTACATTATTACATAATAATAACAATAATAATATAAATTTTCTTTTAGACAATTTTCTGCTATGCGGGAAAAATGTTTTATGAAAATAATGAATTTTTATCTCTATACAATTGATTTGTTAAATTGCATAATAATTATTAGATAATGGCCTTGTTTGATTATTAACAAATTCATCAAAATTTTAACAAATTCGTCATTTAAACATTTTGTCTTTAATTAAAACACCAAAAATAATATTTAATAACTCAACAATTTTACTCCAAACTGCTAAAAACAAAAACAACAGATATACATTTTGGGTTAATCTTTTTCAAACCACCTAATAATAAATAACATTTAAAAAAAAAAACTAAAATAAAAAAGTCATTAAGCTAAGACTTCGTAAATAAGAGTTTTTTGGCGTCTTAATACTTGCCCACATTGATGGACAAGCAATTATGTTTGTAAGATGAACATTGCTCATCTTATATATAGTACCTCAAGAGCTCCTCTTTCCTAACATTGTCGATGTGGGATCAAAATTATCCCAAATCATTTACAAAGAGGAGTCATTTGTCTTCCTTTTTTTTAAAAAAAAAAATTTTATTTTGTATGAAGTGTTGTTTGGATTTACAGGCGAACTCTATGGTGTGGGAGGATGATCCCCCTACCTTTCTTTTGGCTTTGATCAATTAATATATGCAGTAGTTTACTTTCAAAAAAAAGTGTTGTTTGGATTATTATTATTATTATTATTATTATTATTATTATTATTATTATTATTATTATTATTATTATTATTATTACATATGGTTTTTATTATACTTGACCAAAATATATATATATATATATATATATATATATATATATATATATATATATATATATATATATATCAAGGTTGCAAAACAAGTTAGGCGCTCCCCAGGCGTCGAGGGGGAGCCTAGCGCATAAGGCGCTGATTTTTTTATTTTTTTTAAATGTAAAAAAATTTAAAAATTAAAAATTATCAAAATTCACTAATAACGGTTCTCATCTTTTTTCTTACAAATTATTTATTTAAGTGGCTATAAAATTGTTTAAAATATTGTTGAAACCATCTAAATACATAAAAAACTAAAATTAAGAGCAAAAGAAGCATTTTTGAGAAATTGGTGGGGCAAACGCAAACCGGCTTTGGCTGTTTGCTGTGGGTAGATTTCGAAAAAAATACGCGATTTGAAAAAAAAAAATTGTCCAAAATGGACAATCGAATCAAAAGTTATGCATTCGCAAAAGTTTTTAACCCAAACCCTAGAAAGAGATATTTTTTAGGAATTGGGCGAAAAGTTAAAGTTTAGGATTTTGTTTTTATATATAGTATAGATTAGAATATGAATTATATTACACTATTTTATAATATTATAATATGAATTTTAACCTAGAATTATACTACGAATAGGAAAGCAGAAAACAATATATTTTATTAGAAAAAGACATTTTTTTAGGAATTTGGCGGAAAGTTAAAGTTCAGGATTTTGTATTTATATATAGTATAGATTAGAATATGAATTATATTACACTATTTTATAATATTAGAATATGAATTTTAACATAGAATTATACTACGAATAGGAAACAAAAAACAATATATTTTATTAGAAAGAGATATCTTTTTAGGAATTTGGCAAAAAGTTAAAGTTCAGGATTTTTTTTTTATATAGTATAGATTATAATATGAATTATATTACACTATTTTATAATATTAGAATATGAATTTTAACCTAGAATTATACTACGAATAGGAAACAGAAAACAATATATTTTATTAGAAATATATATTTTTTAGGAATTGGGCGGAAAGTTAAAAGTTTAGGATTTTGTTTATATATATATATATATATATATATATATATATATATATATATATATATATATATATATATATATATATTTATATATAGATTATAATATAATTGTATTACACTATTTTATAAAATTAGAATAGGAATTTTAACAAAGAATTATAGTACGAATAGAAAGTATAAAACAATATGTTTTTATTCGAAAGATAGATTTTTTAGGAGATGGGCGGGAAGTTAAAGTTCAGGATTTTGTTTTTATATAGAGTGTAGATTATAATATGAATTTAACCTAGAATTATACTACGAATAAGAAAGAAGAAAACAATATATTTTATAAGAAAGAGATATTTTTCACGAATTGGGCGGAAAGTTAAAGTTTAGGATTTTGTTTTTATATATAGTATAGATTAGAATATGAATTATATATTTATATTACACTATTTTATAATATTAGAATATGAATTTTAACCTAGAATTATACTACGAATAAGAAAGTAGAAAACAATATATTTTATTAGAAAGAGATATTTTTAAGGAATTGGGCGGGAAGTTAAAGTTCAGGATTTTATTTTTATATATAGTATAGATTAGAATATGAATTGTATTAAACTATTTTATAATATTAGAATATGAATTTTAACCAAGAATTATAGTATGAATAGGAAAGTAGAAAACAATATGTTTTTATCCGAAAGATAGATTTTTTAGGAAATTAGCGGGAAGTTAAAGTTCAGGATTTTATTTTTATATATAGTACAGATTATAATATGAATTTTAACCTAGAATTATACTACGAATATGAAAGTAGAAAACAATATGTTTTTATCAGAGTTTTTTTTAGTGTTTTTATCCGAAAGATAGATTTTTTAGGAAATTGGCGGGGAGTTAAAGTTCAGGATTTTGTTTTTATATATAGTGTAGATTATAATATGAATTTTAACCTAGAATTATACTACGAATAGGAAAGTAGAAAACAATATGTTTTTATCAAGAGATTTTTTAGAAATTGGGTGGGAAGTTAAAGTTCAGGATTTTATATATATATATATATATATATATATATATATATATATATATATATATATATATATATATATATATAGATTATAATATGAATTATATTACACTATTTTATAATTAATATTAGAATACGAATTTTAACCTAGAATTATACTACGAATAGAAAAGCAGAAAATAATATATTTTATTAGAAAGAGATATTTTTAAGGAATTGAGCGGGAAGTTAAAGTTCATGATTTTGTTTTTATATATAGTATAGAAGTATAGATATGAATAGGAATTGTATTAAACTATTTTATAATATTAGAATATAAATTTTAACCGAGAATTATAGTACGAATAGGAAAGTAAAAAACAATATATTTTTATCAGAAAGTGAGATTTTTTAGAAATTGAGCGAGGAGTTAAAATTCAGGATTTTATTTTTATATATAGTATAGATATAAATATGTATAAATGTATTAAATAATAATAATAATAATAATAATAATAATAATAATAATAATAATAATAATAATAGATGGAAGGAGAGAGGCGACCTGCACGAGAAACATAATGAGGACCTGGTAAAATCGAAGAAGTCTCGAAAAAAAGATAATCTCCACAAGAATATATTCAAATAAAATAATAGTAAATTTGTAATTTTATTAGACATTGAGGACAATTGAAAACAAAAATAAATCTAAATGTTAGATGGAAAAATCTCAGAAGATTTGAAATCTACAGTTAACAAAGGTGCAATTTTTGAAGGACAAATGGAAACTCACCAATATTAATATAAGGAGATTTATATATAATAGGCACAAGTGTCAAATAGGCACATCTACTAGTATGAAGTGTTCAATTCCCCCCATCTATCAAAATATAATCTAATTAGATACACTTACCTCTAAAAATTTGTCGATTAACTTTTTTTGCAGGTTACCTCTAGGTTGCCCATCCATCCATACTGCTGACATGTAATTTTATTTAAATAAAAATGGGTGATGATGTGGAATTTAATTACTTCCTAATCTTTAGAATCCTAGTCCATCATAATCTCCAGTTCGCACATCTGCACATCTGCAGTTTGATTTCAAACGCACATCTCTCCCGTTCGCACATCTCCAGTTGGCGCATAATCTCTGTTCATTCTTCATATCCACATCTTCATTTTGGGTTTAATTTCCCAGAAATTGTGGAGAAGCTGAAGGGAAAGTGATGATCATCTGCTCTTTCTCTTTTCCTTCTATTTATTATTTTAATTAATTGTAGTCAAGTGTAATTAAATATTATTAATTTGTTCCATTTGAACGCATCTTCATTCTTCTCCAATTTTTTGAAGAGTACAAACCCAGGGAAAAAAGAAAATCAAAATTCCACCATAGTCAACTTGGATCCATGAGTGAACACAATCTCTGTTCGCACATCTCCAGTTGGCGCATAATCTCTGTTCATTCTCCGTTCATTCTTCATATCGCTGTCGGCTCTCAATCTCGCTGTTGGCTCTCATTATCCATTTCGCATAAACGATTTCGCATAAACGATTAGGAATAATCGTTATTGAAGATTAGGAATTGTGATTTCTCATGTGTTGTTGAAGGGCACGTCTGGCTGATTACTTGATTAGGAATAGTCTTTTTTTATTATTATTAATTAATTATGAATTAGGAATAGTAATTTAACACAGGTTAGGAATTAAACAATTTAGGGTTTCAAAATTCTTTTTTAGGATGATTTAATTTTGTTATTTAATTGACATGTCATCAAATTTTTTTATTTAATTGCCATGTCATCATTGCCACATAATCAATGACCGGGCCAAGTCAGACTCCAACGGAAGTAACCTGCAAAAAAAGCTAATCCGCAATTTTTAGAGGTTAGTGTGTCTAATTAGATTATATTTTAGTAGATGGGGGAATTGAGCACTTCAGACTAGTAGATGGACCTATTTGACACTTGTGCCTATATAATATTAAATTATTATATATTACAATTTATACCTAATATCCTTTTATATTTACAATATAACCAAGTATATATATATCAATTCCCAAAATCCCCAATTTGGCAACTCATTTATCTCTTATTCTCCCGCGGCTGGACTCTGGGATTTGCAACGAGCCGACGACTCCTTCGACACTTCGACCGACCGACAGTGATAGGTATGTCTTCCAGTCTAGCAGTGGTATAGTTACGCTTGTAGCAAGTTGCGAGCTGGAGGGCGGCTGCTGCTACGGGCTACGGCGGAGGCTGCTGCTGCTGATACGGGCTGCGGCCTGTAGCGGCGGCGGCTGCTGTTTCGGACTGCATTTTCTGCCATTCCCTCAACATGCATAAGTTGATTAATAGCTTTTTTCTCACAGATTCTGGCTTTATCTAACGCCACTATCGAGATTAGTTCCCGTCCTTGAATATATTGGGGCTGGGTGGTGCCCTCTGTTATATATTGATGTGGTTTCTTTTGTTTATTTTTTTTAATCTGTGTCAAATCGCTTATGAGATTTCTATTGTTAATGGCAGGGAACTAAAACTAATTTGAAAATTGTTTGGAGTATGAAAGAAGAGACTATCTTAATATGTTGCTCTATTGTTGTTGAATGACGAGTGTTCAATTCACTCTGTGAACAGCCATATCAATCTCTGCTAATCCGTTCCAAAATATATCTAAAAGAAGCAGAAGTTTATCACATGAATTCAATATTCTTTTCCTCGTCTTTCCATCCTGTCATATCACCTGCTCATACACTCATTCCAAATACCGGCTTGCTTACAACCATTTAGGTTGTTTTGTAACTTCTTCTAAATTCCGGCGTTTGCAACATCTCTCTTTGCACCAAAAGACTGATCTGAAGAATGATTCTGTCTTCCTTAAAGGTTTACAGACCCAGAATCCACCAATCTCTGCTGTTTTCCTCAACTTTTGTTCAAAGATCAAATCTTTCGTCATCTGAAATCCAACATTATGACAACTTTAATCCCATCAACCACAAAGATTGGCTCAGCCCAACACAAGTGGTCAAGATTTTTCAAAATCTGAAAGACCCAAATTCAGCTCTGAATCTATGGACCCAAATGTCAAAACGCAAGGACTATACCCCCAACGAAGCTCTCTACTCCGCAGTCATCAACAAGTTAGCAGAAGCCAAGAACATTGATGCAATTGAGACGCTTATGGAAAGAATCAAACTTGAGAGAAAATGCAGGCTCTCTGATGCGTTTTTCTACAATGTGATTAGGATTTATGGGAATGTAGGCGGGAGAATAAACAAAGCCATAGAGACCCTCTTTGACATGCCGAATTACAAGTGCTGGCCGAGCGTGAAAACCTTCAACTTCGTGCTCAATTTGCTCGTGAACACGAAGCAGTTTGAAGTTGTCCATCAAGTGTACACGGGTGCCGCGAAGCTGGGAGTGGAGATCGATGCTTGTTGCTTGAATATCATCGTCAAAGGGCTGTGCAACTGCGGAAAAATCGAGGGTGCACTCCAGGTGCTCGACGAATTTCCCAAGCAGAATTGCGCGCCCAATGTGCGGACTTTTTCAACCATTATGCGCGCACTGTGCGACTGCGGCCGAGTCAATGAGGCATTCGGGTTGTTGGAGATGATGGAAAGGGAGCGAGTGGAACCAGATACAATCATGTATAATATACTGATTTCTGGACTAAGGAAGCAAGGAAGAGTTGAAGAGGGGATTGAGGTTTTCAACAAGTTGATGCATAAAGGTTGTGACCCAAATGATGGAACTTATCAGGAAGTTCTGTATGGGCTAATTGATGCCAAGAGGTTTATTGATGCCAAAGATTTCATGGGTGTGATGATTGACAAGAGAGTAAACCCGAGCTTCGAGTCGTATAAATTGATGGTCCATGGCTTGTGTGATCAGAATCTAAGTGTTCATTTGGATTGGGTACTTAAGCAGATGGTGAGGCATGGGTTTGTACCAAGAATGGGAATGTGGAAAAAGATGGTTGAATGCTTCTTACATTCCAAAGATTGTTGTAATTATGTTATAATTTCCTTTGAAGGCATTATTGCAGACCAATCTCCATAGAAATGCAATCACTTTGCAAACTCTTTGTTCTTTTTAATTTATATATATATATATATATATATATATATATATATATATATATATATATATATATATATATATATATATATATATATATATATATGTTTAAGTTTTAGTGCGGGTGAATGCTTCTCATGCGATAATATACAGATTAATTTTATGGTGGCTAATTGCAATACCAACCATTCGCGAGTACAATACTTACTTGCAGGACAGGTATTTCTTTTCCCTCTACTCCCACACGGACTTAGACTTGCTAAAAAAGACGAAACTTAGATATTTGGATTCTCATTTCCTTACTATTTTGCTTTTTGCCATGGCATACACGCTCAGAAAGCCAGTAAAAAAGGTGGGATCGTGTTGTTGGCTTTCCCTTGCTATCTGCATCGTTGAACTCCTGATCTGCATAATGTTTGGGCATGGTATACTCTCTTGCATAAGCTTTTTTTCTAAGATGTATCCAATCAATTCAAATATATATCCATTTTTGCTTAATAATCTGCAGCTAATACAAGTGAATACCAATCTGCATCATCTCTTTTGCTAAGCTGTATCCAATCAAATATGTCCATTTTCGCTTAATACAAGTGAAAACCGTTTCATTTTCCTGCTCCACGTTTCAGGATTGTTACATGAGCCGATGCCCAAATGGTTAGTTATATTCTGGACATCCGCGGGGGTTGGCTTTATCGTATTCTTGTCAGCATGGTCATGGCAATTGATGAAGAGAAAGCGGCAATGAGGGTTTTTGTACGTCGGTCCGTCCCAAATTCTTTGATTTATTTCTGGTGCTTCGGATTAACTCTGTGTTGTAAATGTTACATCGTTTGCTGTATATGTTGTGTTGTGTGGTTAGATATGAGGATGTAGAGAGAAGTCTATTCTTTATTTGTAGGTGCCTTCTGAGATGCAATTTTGTTGGCTATCAAAGGCATAATCTTTGTTGTTGGGAATATCATATTGTTAGCACTCTAATTTCTTCAATATGAGTTCTATTTGGTTCTTGTTTTCAATATCTAATTTCTCTTATTCACTAACAACATTCGAGATAAATTAGGAATAGCTCCAGATGGTTGTCTTCCCGTCATCCTCACAGATTATGCCAGGTACTACGATTGTTGTTGCACCAAGTTTAATCAAATCCTATATTTTTATTAAATGGCTTATTAGAGTATTATTTATCAATACACAAAATAGTTGCATCCCGACATCAAGTAGTAATTAAATGCTCAATATAGTAATACCAAAGTGTAAGTTGAAAATTAAAAAGTTATTTAGTAGCATTTAATTTGAAAAAAATATGCATTAATTTGTTAGTAAATATCTGAATTTTTTTTTTTTTTTTTGAGTAGTACTGATTATGTTACAATGTAATGTTGCCTTGTTAACATTCATTGATTGGGTGCCCCTACTTTCACTTACAAGTGCACCCGAGCGCGACTCTCTCTCTCTCTCTCTCTCTCTCTCTCTCTCTCTCTCTCTATATATATATATATATATATATATATATATATATATATAATAAAATGGAAATATGGTTGTTATAATCCATTAGTTATCCCTAAATTGTAAACTCTATTCATAAATTATTACTCTATACAACTTTTTCCATTTAATTATGTTGAAAATGGTTGTTTCAATTCATTATTTAATAATTTTGTTAACATTAAAATTTTATTTTAATTTGTCAAATTATTAGAGGACAAATTGGTTATTTTGTAAAAAATTTCCAAGTAAAAAAAAAAAAAAAGGCTTTCACATTGATGATTATTTCAAGTGAATGTTGGGTTAGAACCATATCATTTGGACGTTGAGGAATGCGTTTGTTTTGGTATTAATTATTTCTCTTGGGCGATAGAGATGCGAAAGTGAACATTGCACGTTGTTTATTCTAATTATGACTGCTACAAAAAATAAATAAATCGCCAAATGCATTTTAAGTATTTAGTTTTGTAATATTGGTCAATAGAAGAAGAATTTTTTTATATATATATAAAATTATAAATGATGAAAGGGTAAAATTCACTTTTAATGATAGTGAGATGGAAAAATACAATATTACTTGAATAAAATGTTATTGGTGAGTTAATTAGGGAATGCTAAGTTGAAAAAAAGAAAAAAGGAGTAGAAATGGTATTACTCCTAGAACAATTAGACCATTTTAATCATTGCACTCTCATTAGACGAACGGATTAGCAGAGATTGATATGGCTGTGCACAGAGTGAATTGAACACTCGTCATTCAACAACAATAGAGCAACATATTAAGATAGTCTCTTCTTTCATACTCCAAACAATTTTCAAATTAGTTTTAGTTCCCTGCCATTAACAATAGAAATCTCATAAGCGATTTGACACAGATTAAAAAAAATAAACAAAAGAAACCACATCAATATATAACAGAGGGCACCACCCAGCCCCAATATATTCAAGGACGGGAACTAATCTCGATAGTGGCGTTAGATAAAGCCAGAATCTGTGAGAAAAAAGCTATTAATCAACTTATGCATGTTGAGGGAATGGCAGAAAATGCAGTCCGAAACAGCAGCCGCCGCCGCTACAGGCCGCAGCCCGTATCAGCAGCAGCAGCCTCCGCCGTAGCCCGTAGCAGCAGCCGCCCTCCAGCTCGCAACTTGCTACAAGCGTAACTATACCACTGCTAGACTGGAAGACATACCTATCACTGTCGGTCGGTCGAAGTGTCGAAGGAGTCGTCGGCTCGTTGCAAATCCCAGAGTCCAGCCGCAGGAGAATAAGAGATAAATGAGTTGCCAAATTGGGGATTGATATATGTACTTGGGTTATATTGTAAATATAAAAAGATATTAGGTATAAATTGTAATATATAATAATTTAATATTAAATATAAATCTTCTCTCAAATATTAAATAAGGAAAATTGTAAAAAATACCCCTCTATAATATGTCAATTATCAATGTCATCCATGAATTATGAGTGGTGTAAATGTTGCCCCTCAATTATCAAAACGGTGCACATATAGCCCTTCCCGTAACGGACATGTGATTCTATGTTAGTGTACGACACCGTTAAGTCGGAATAAATATGCATTTTAGTTGTTTTTTCCTCCCTCGATTCGAAGTACCAGCGATGGACAACGGTGGGAACCACAGATCCGTTACGGGATGAGCTATATGTGCACTATTTTGATAATTATGAGGCAACATTTACGCCACTCATAATTCATGGGTAACATTGATAATTGACATATTATAGAGGAACATTTTTTACAATTTTCCCTATTAAATATAAATCTCCTTATACTAATATTGGTGAGTTTCCATTTGCGCTTCAGAATAGCACATTTGTTAATCATAGATATCAAATCTAGCGCCTGAGATTTTTTCATCAAACATTTAATTTATTTATGTTTTCAATTGTCCTCAATGTTTAATGAAATTACAAATTTGCCATTATTTTATTTGGATATATTCTTGGGGAGACTTTTTTTTTTAGACTTTTTCAATTCTACCAGGTCCTCATTATGTTTCTCGTGCAGGTCGCCTCTCTCCTTCTATCATCTGGTTAATTGAAGTTTTGCCCGGATATTTTCACTTGCTTTCGGATTAGCATCAACTAATTGTCCAACATCTCAATCTTTTATCTACTGATTAGTTCGAGTTCTGCTGCATTTTGCAGGCAAACCCATACGAGTATTTGATTGTTATGTTAAAAAAATCTGACTCGCTTCCCATATCTATGTCTCTGTTTTTAGCTTTCTCTCTATGATTGTTCATACATATATCGTTTTTTTTTTTTTTTTGAAAATTTTTTGTTGTTGTGAAAATGGTACAGAATACAGAGAAGGAGTTCAAGGTGCGTGGTACCTGAGACCATAACGTCCTACGTCAACAACTGACGGCGTCACCAACAGCACGTGTCAGAATTTCTTCAACGCCACCATCGTTGCGTCTACCTCCAACTCCGTCGTGGCGTCAACGGTGTCAATTCTGCACAAGTTCACCGAGAAGTCCCCTAGATATACCTTCCGGAGGTGGTCTCCCGAATAACATAACGATTCCAGATCTGAAGAAGCAGAAGGATATCACGCAAACAATGCCATTTATGCGCTTATTCTTGTTAGGGTCGCGAGGCAGTCCTCCAAATGAAACAAGATTTCATCCAAATTGATTGATTGTGAAGTTAGGAAAGGGGTTTTGATCACGCTAGAGCAAAATGGAGGTGTACAACATAGCCATGAAAAGGATGATGAGGAACCCATACGAGTATCACCATGATCTGGGCTATTACTTTTCTCCAAATCGTACTAAATTTTTGTACTGCCACTTTTGGTAAAGTTGATTTCTTTCTTCAAATTGAGCATCATCATCACATTGTTGATAGCCATTCCCTCAGACTGGAATATCTTGATCTTGCTGCTTTTTTTTTTTTTTTTTTTTTTTTTTTTTTTTTTTTTAGGTTCTGATTTGCTTTTTGTTTCCTCATATTTGGTTTAGTTCTTGGTGCGTAGTATATTTGCAAACAAATAATACCCGACGTATCGAGTAATCGATCCACAAGGAAGTGATTGTATTAAGCACTAGTTACTAATTTATTCTAAGCTAATCCTAACAATTGACTTGGATGATTGATTGTATTAAGCTAATCATAACAATTGACTTGGATGATTGATTGCATACAATAAATAAAATAAAGCAGAGATTCAGAGTTTTGAAAACAATGGAGAGAGACTGAGATTCCTAGGATTCAAGTGTTTATTCCCCTAGTGCCTAACCTAATGTAACATTAAATATGGGTTCATACGAGTGTGAGGATGCAAAGTGGTATAGAACTACTCTCGCAGTCACTAACACTGGTGAATATCCACTCTCGTGCGATAATCACCCAATAAAACAAGAACAAGCATCATAAATTCCTAACTACTACCATCTCTCGAACTGGCAATAATCAATAATTAAATTTCCCTAATAAATTACCCTTTCTCAAGGTGCAATTGTATGTGCCCTAATTTATGCCTAACTCTCGTTCAGACATGAATATGGTTATGAAACAAGTAATTCGGGCCCTAAACTACTAGCAACAAGAATGATAAACACAATTGCAACACAAGTATTAAACCCAAATAATAATATATTAAAGAAACTGAGAGCTCAGGCACATAGGTTCATAAACACTTTTACCCAAGAATCTCTAAAGAATTTAATCAAGGATGGCTAAATTATACATAGCAAATATAAATAAATAATTACAAATCATCAAAAGAGTACAAGAGTGAACCAGACGATTCGACGCGTCGAGTTTATGCGTCGGTTTTTCTGGAGCAACGGCTGCATATTCGACGCGTCGAGTCTACCTGTGGGACCCGCATCATTCGCTGAACAGATATATTTAGCTTTCCGACACAGATGAGTAGACCCCGGAGCGCGCTTGAGATCCGGAGCGTAGATTAGTCAATTAAAAAATAAAAATAGATTGTTGTTGCATTACTACCATATATTTTCTTATATTCTTTAATGATAATAATATTTGTAGACATTATATATTGGATTATTATAATAAATAAATTTGATCTTATATAATTTTAATCAGTAGGAATTTGTTAACTATTTTTAAAAAATATAAATATTGGACATATGTTTATGCGCATCGCACATAAAAAAGACTAGTTTTAGATTATAAAGTTCATAAGTTCTATACCTAACTTCTTATTTTTTAATATGGATAAAACTGATTTGTAGACAACAACATGCATATTCACTATTCACTATGTTGCTCGCATAGTTTACTAGTTTAGTAGGCAGTATTTAAGAAGAGAGATCAAATTTTGAACCTCGACAGCCACAATGTAAGAATTACGCGGCATCGATATTTGACTCTGTCACGATCGAAAGAGAGAGAGAGTGAAGGATAGACTATCCTAAACAAACAAACCAAATTAAAGCTAACAGGTTTAAGCAAGTTTAGGGTCCGTTTGGAAAGCATGAAAATGATTTCTGTAAAATGAGTCGTTTTCCATAAAACATGTTCTTTTCAGGTGTTTGGCTACACAACAGAAAATTGTGTTTGTGTGTTTGGTTCATTTTCCAAAAAATGAGTAGGAAAATGACAAAACCCAAAAAAAAATATTACAAATTATTATTATTTGATGCTAACATAGCATTATACATAAACAAATCACAAAATTAGAAATGGTGAAATTAGTATTTAGACAAACGTAGCAGACGACGGTGGTGGACAACAACGATAGAAATGGTAAAATTGAAATTGAAAATAAAAATGGTGAAATTAGTGGTGGACAGCAGACGTCGATGGTGGACAACAACACTAGAAATGGTGAAATTGGTGGGAGGTGAGAGAAGATTTCAATTCCATTCTTTCTCACCTACCTTGCTCCAACCGCACTGTTGCGAGAGTGGAACGAACATTCAGGCAAACAGAGGCGAGGCACGCAGACAGTGTAAAAAACTCTCAGAGCAGTGGCGCCATAGCCTATACGCACCTCAAGAATGGGGGAGACTTCACCTTGCCGATTTTGTGCATTTCGTGAGTGCCCTTTCTCATTCAAGATTGAATTCTTGCTTCTCGGTTTGATTTAATCCTTTATTTCTCTATATGGCCAATACCCAAATTTTTGTTGCTTTTTTTTTCTTTTTTCATTTCTTGCACCTGATTTTGTCTTTTCTAGCTGTTTCTCTGATTGTTTCTTTCGTGAGGTTCAGTAGGCTGTGATAGTCTATTAGGTTTTAGGTGGTATTTTAGAGCCTGTGGCTGTGGTTATACTGTTTAAGTTATATTTAGTTGGATTAGTAATTTTCTATTGATTTCTTTGTGGATGAATAATTAGTTTGAGTTCTGCACTTGTACTAAGTAGTTATGACTCTCTTTGCCTTTCCATTGTGATTTTCAATCAATTTTGCTCGTTGCTGATTAGAATCTAATCTCATGTTGGTATTGCTAGCTAATCCGGTAATCCCTTAGTCTTTCAAATTCTTGGATTGTTTTATTGTTTTCAAGACCATTTTAATGAGTTTTTGCTATTGCATTGGAAGTTCAAACAAAATGGTTAGCAAAAAAGAAATGGAAGGCAGTGATGATAGGCTGATAGCAGTGGTGCTGTAGCAATGAGATGGTATCTTCTGTTTCAACTCAAGAGAACGGAAGTAGGAATAAGAGGAAGTTTTTGTCCGAATTCCCATTAGACATTCCCATAGATTCACTGGCTCTTTGACAGAATTCCCAATGGAGTTGTTTGTTTTGCTTCTTTGCGTAAAATACATACATATATTGACCAACATGAGGAAGAAGAAAGCAAGTTAAGGAAAAGACCATTTTACTCCCTACACTAACGCCTAACTAACTGAAGTTTAACGGAAGGACCAATGCTGGAACAAATCTAATAGTCAAGGGTTTTTTTCGTCCAAATTAAAAGACAAGGACTAATTTTGGAAAATCGCAATAGTCCTCCGACTATTGCTGGAATTAACTCTTTTTTTAACCTTAAATTGCAAGTACCAATTCCCAATTGGTGGTGTCTACTGACTTCTATATTAATGTGAGTTGTTTATCACTTGACTTCTTGCATATGTTGAACTGTCTATAGTTGAACATTGATTTATGATAGATTAAGTCATGGGCTGTAAGTGGTGGCGGTGGTTGTTGTCTTGTTGATCCAGAACACCCGTGTGTGGATATTCTTTGCATTTGTGTAATTAGCTTTAACTACATTTGGTTTTGAGACATGTTGGGAAACAATTTACAGCTTCCCTCATTTTTGTCTGAAATGATG